TAATTTTATGTATGTTCATGTTATGATTTTGATTGCATTATAATTTTATCTATTGGGTTATAAAGATTTGAAGTCTTTAAGTTTGGTATGTGATTTTTTACATATTGTATGGTTGGTCCGGTCCATTCATTATTGTGTTTTTAAAGTCAAGATATGTGTTAAAGATGAAAAATAGTACATGTACATCATCAATCTTTGAAGGAGACATATCTTTATGTGGAGTATTTTTTATTCTTAAATTTGTGTCAGATTCCTTAATATTTCCGTCGTTATTATTACTCATTTTATTTAGTTTTATAATTTTATTACTAAACAAATCTCTCTCTCAATATATATATATATATATATATATATGTGTATATTAAAATTTCACTAACTATATTTTATTTAACTTTTTCGAATTATTTGAATATGATTTGTTGATGATTCTATTAACAATTAATATATATTTATATAGACAATTATCAGATCATTAATCAAAGCACTCATACTACCGCGCAACGCACGTTTTCCATACTAGTTTATAATATAATATAGATATAGAATGCAAATGTACCCTATGCAAGCACACAACCGTCTAATTAATTTGAATGAAGGTTTTTTGTTTTAAAAAGAGTATTAGGCGGTTTCCGGCAAACCCCCACCTTTCCCACACTCCGACTGCATATATACTCCACCGCCTACTCCCAAATCCCCATATGCAATGGCCGATCAGAGCCGGCCAGTCACCGGCTACCCTGCTCCACCTGCTTCCAACGGCTATCCGACCACCGCTCCCACAGCATACCCTTACGTTGCGCAGCCACGTCCGAATCAGGGCTCATACTTCAATGTTTCTGGGCCTTACTACTCCGATCCATATGCCACCCAACAACGCGCCACCTTCATCCGCCGTATCTTCGCCATCATTATCGCTTGCGTTATCATCATCGGGACCATCGTCTTCATTATGTGGCTCGTCCTCCGTCCTCAAGTCCCTCAGTTCCGTGTCGACAGCCTAACCCTCTCTAACTTCAATCTGTCATCTAACTCACTGATTTCCGGGAATTGGGATGCCCGTTTAACCGTGCGTAATCCTAACTCCAAGATTGTTCTCTACTACGATCACATCGAGGCTGCCGTCTTTTACAAATCCGAATCGATTTCGGAGACCACGGTGCCGCCTTTCGTCCAGGGAAAAAAGAACGAGACAGCTGTTCGGGCAACGTTCGCTTCCTTGTCGGCGTATGTAGAGGATCGGAATGGTATCAATGACGAGAGGGCTCGTGGGACGGTTTATTTCAATTTGAGGATGGTGGCTAGGGTTCGGTTTAAGGCTGGTGCTTGGTGGGCTAGACGGCGGATCTTGAAGATCTATTGCCCTAGTTTACCGGTTGGAGTTTCTGCCAATAGTTCAGCTGGATCTTTGGATGGTGGCTCCAAAAACTGCAGGGTCGGTCTCTGACTGATGTTATGGATAGGAGATTAGTGTTAGTAGTCCAGTGAGAACTCGTAAACAATGTCAAGGTACTTTATTATGCTTTTCATTTACTTTTTGGTGGAAATCTGATGACTCTCTTGCTACTGCTAGTATGTATGTGTATAGGTTAGTTTTTGCATCTCTGACGATAAAACCCAATTTCACAGTTTTTGGATATATATGTATTCAAATTCGTTTTTCATGCTTGTTGTGGTTCTATTGTTGATTTCATAGATAATTTCATTTTATCTTCCAATGATTGATTGGTGTTTCTGCTGGATGATCTTTAAGTCTCTTGCTACAACTATGCTATTCCTTTATTGACACTCCCTCTAGACTGCATTGGTGATCATCTTATTAGCTTTTCATGAAAGTAATAAGCCTTCAGGGGACAAGTTTTGAGTTTTTGTTCTTTTCTATGGACGCAAAAGATGTTGCTTTATAATAGGTTTTGTTGCTCTGTGGCTGTTGACGTAGATATTTGCTTGTGTTCTTAAGTTATCTTTTGTTAAAACAGTCATGTCAGCTACTCCCTGCTTTAAAAGCTACTTCCTAGTTAGATTTCGTGGAACCTGCTTAGTATGATGAGTTCTTTGAGAATTTTTCTACTTGCATTGTTATTCTGTTCATGCCATCCCTATGTACTACATATTCTTGTCTTAATAAGTTGGTCACTGATGTTGTATTTGAAGGTCAAGTCAAGTCAGTGGGTACCCGTATGCGTGCTTCTTTGCTTACTAAGAACTCTTCTTTTGAGCTGCAATAGATAAAAGATTTTGGGAGGCCGTCACAAAGGATCACTTCTTTCATCTAGTCATCTTAATCTTGATGAACTCAAAATCTTCACCCCCTCCCCTTACGCATACTTATGGCACTCCGAGGCTATGTCCAGGAAACATGAAGGCCCTCTATGCAATGATGAACTTATGGAGAGATGTGTGATTTGAATGTAAAATGTGATCTAGAGTATTAGGTAAATGCTTACGGTTGATGCAAGTAATTAACTAGAAATTGTAGTTGGTTCTGACCTGTTTTTGTTTGACATAATCATAATCTGTGTGTGTAAAGTTGTCGGTTGAAAAAATATGAGGCTTTATTGTTTATCATGCATGGAAGCACTAATTGACATCCATTATAACTCGAAAGAGTCTCATCTGTGATAAACCATAATCTGCACCCTGATCCAATTACTATGTTGAAGAATTTGTTCAATCAGAAAGATATTGAAGATGTCTAGGGATGTCATGATGGTTACTAGCAAACCCTGTGCCAGAATTTAATAATTTATCTGCCTTTATTGAATGCCATGATCTGCTTCTTGGGGTTTCACCTTTTTTAGGAAGTTCTGAAATTTAAATACTCCCTCGACCCCAATTAAGTGTTCACATTTCTATTTAAGGGACCAGGTTCGAATTCTACCCTCTTAGTTATGAGTTGGAAAAATTATTTATTCCCTCTATTATCAAAGGTAATATTGTCATTTAGTTGATTAAAAGTATAATAATTACACATTCTGAAATTGTTCATGGTGTACATTCATTCGGGGAAGGAGGGAGTAGCAACATATCACATACCCTCATGCATTTATTATCATGGCAATATTAATTTCATGGTTGTTGAATTTAACCATCCTATTTACAAAATGTTGGAAAGTAATAACTTGAAAAAGATACCTAGTTTGGAATTTTAGCCTCTAAGTGATACTTTTCTTCATTGTTACCTTTCTCTAGAGGGCCAACATAAATTGAATAAGCCTCCTCACAATTCTTTGCTCTCGCCCCATTGCACCAGTCCCACGATCATCATACACATATTTATACTCCACTGATTGCACCAGTCCGGTGGTCATCATACACATATTATATACTCCACTGATTGCACCAGTCCGGTGGTCATCATACACATATTATATACTCCACTAATCGTATATATTACATATGATGAGATATTGCTTTTAGTTTTAAAGGGTCGAAGTTGGAGGGAGGAATCTGCTTTTTGGTCAGGTTGCTTGATTTGCTGTGATTGATGCATTGAACATTAGGAGGATGTTATTCGGTGTTCTCTTGGGTTGTTATATTTGCACTTCAAGAAATGTTGTTTTTTCTGCTTTCTTATTAATGTGAGCCCTGCAATTTGCAAATGGGTTGCAAACATCATTTCCAAAATAAGAAGCAACATGATAATTTCTGCTTATTAATTTTGGGTGTCAGCTCAACTGATAAATAAATGTTAGGTTTTGGGGCTCCTTCCCCATAGGTTGCTAGTTCAAGTCTCCTCGTAGCAACCGGAGATTTTTCTAGCTTAGGGATCCATGAGATTAGTCGAGGGGCTGACCCGAACATCCATGGTTACCATAAAAAAAAGAACCTCTGCAATTCCTCATGTTAGAATTGGTCATCTTATGGTGATAAAGTAATAATCTTAGATACGCTTTAGATTCTAATGTTCTTTCCTTCACTGGTATTTGGTATTTTTTTTTTCATATTTGTCGTACTTTTGCAAGTTTAAATTATAGATTTTGTCGTTTCTGTAACCGCCCTCTCAAAGGCCAATGGATTATTTTCGAAATTTGGAGCTCCTTCGACCATGTTTGGACAAATTTACTATTTGATTATTGAAAAAGATTTAAACCTCATTTTTGAAGGTTCAAGACTCGTACTCTTATCAATCACGGTCAATGGTTTACGCCTCACCAAAGGTAAAGAGTGTATGTTTCAGAAAATAAGAACATGTAGTTTAAATATTTGGAGAACATATTTAGGGGTTGTGCGGTTCGTTTGTTGTTAAGACCTATATGGATATAGCTGTCTGTATTGATATAGTTGTTTGTATATTAACAAATAAGTTGTTGTGTTGAATAAACAGTCTGAATGTCAAAAATGACCATTTTACCCTCAATCTTTATTTTTGTATGAATAAAACAACAATTTGATAAAAATGTTGAACAAATGACTTTTTAATTGTAAATTTGTGTGGATCAATTTTATTACATTAGGTACCCGTAACAAGAACAACACATAGTTCAAATGAAACCAAAATGTTGAATCAAATGAAACTCCAATTCAAAAGAACCCAAATCAATGAAACTGAATCAAAAGAGTAAATATTTGACAAAAAAAACCTTCTAGAAACATATTTCTACAAAAAGCTTTGAACTTTCTAATCTCCATTTGTTGTCCAATTTGGAAAAACAAGCTAAAGCAAAGATGAATGATCTGTTTTCTGGACCGTTCTCTCGAATTTATGTACCCACTCGTCTCAAACGCGGCGACGTCGTTCTCTTCTCCCTCTCTTGGCCTCTTCATCGGCTAATCGGGGACGGCGACGGCGATGGTCTGTTCGGCCATCTCTGCAACTGTGCCTTGAACCCCTAAGTTCATCAAAGTCCGTCTCGAAGCCCTAGATCGTTCCAACGCCGCCAATCGTAGTCTCCCTAGATGCGGACCTAGCAGCTCTTCAGATCGAACTCGGACCTCTGTAGTCGACGGTCTCTGCTCACGAATCGATCCAGACGGCGGCGAGGTTGAAGATGAAGATGAAGAAGGTGAGGTTGAAGATGAAGATGAAGAAGTTCTAGATAGATATGCTCCAATATTGGGGGAAAAGAGGGGAAGGGCATATTCGGAATAACTGGTTGAATAAGTGGTTGGGTCCATAGGACTCCACTTTTCCGGCTGACCGGTTAAGCTATCGGCTGACCGAATAAGCCAAAAGCGAACAACAATGTATAGCTGACCGAATAAGCCATACAGGCTTAACAACCCATTAAGCCATTACCGAACAGCCCCTTAGTTAAGTCGGTTTAATCCTTCCATGTAGATCAAATGTTAACAAATCAGTATGTATGGTCATCTTATTTTGAATCATAACTATGTCACAAACATTTTTACTTTATTCAGTTTTCTGATTTAATTCAATATTTATACTATATTATAAAGCATTTGACAAAAACTATTAAAAACCATTTTTTATGCATGAATTACTGTTTATTGATACATATTCCTTAAAATTCAAGATTAAATGTAACTTGTGCATAAGTATTGTAAAACCCAAAAATTTGTGGAATAAATAATTTATCTTTATTAGTATTTTATTTTAAGAGTATATATATATATATATATATATATATATATATAGGGTTGGGTTCACGTGAGACCAATGCTTTTTCGTGAGACCCGTAAGACCAATTTATGTTCATTGATCAAATTTATGAATTAATGATCTAATGGTTGCAAAGTTGCAAGGTGGCAATTTCGTAATTAGTGAGAAGTCTCGTGGCGTTTATAAATGTTCAGATCTGAAGATTGTAAATCTAATCCAAGGGTTGAGAATTGGTCTTACGGGTCTCACGAAAAACCATTGGTCTCACATGATCCCAAGTCTATATATATATATATATATATATATATATTAAATAAAAATAGAAGGTTGAAATAAGTTTAAAAGTCGGACCAAAAGTGAAGGAAGAAGTCAAGATATGGGTGAAAGTTGTCAATTCGCGGAAGTTAAGGGACTGGGTCGTGTGTAAGCAGGTCCAAACAAGAAGGATCTGTTTTGTAAATAGGCAACAGACCTACAACAGGGTGGCCTGCTGTCAACGATCGAGAGAGGCATAAGAGGAACAGGCAGTGCCTGGTTCAAAAGAGGAAATTGTGACCTGCATGGTTGCAGGCTGTGGAAGAGAGCAGTTCCCGGCCCAAAACTCGGGATTCTGCCGATTTGGTCAACTAATAGGCCAAATCGTGTGAGTATAAATTGAGGGCACCAGGTTGGGGTCGTTATTCTTTTGAGAGAAGAAGGGGATCGTTGAGTTTGAAGGAGAGAAGCCGGAGTTCATACCAGCAAGAAACCCCCCTGCTTCCCGTCGTTTAGAGGTAAATACTCGACCAAATTTATGATTTAAACAATGTTTAGCCGTGACTTTGGCCCTGTATAGAACCCTAGAAGGCTTATGTCCAAACTTTGTGTTTTGGGATTCGATTTCAAGGACTATATTTCATTTGTTAAACACGCTGTATCGCATTTGGCTTAGAAGTCACCTTAGAGAATGTTACACAGAAGCTCTGCACGAGAGCTCTGTATCAAATGTGTTAGACAGAAGCTCTGCGTGAGAGCTTTGTGTCATGTTAGCCAGAAGCTCTGCATGAGAGCTTCGTATCAAGTTATGTTATAGTGAAACTCTGCGTGAGAGCTCTGTATCAAGTTGTGTTAGACAGAAGCTCTGGAGGAGGGACCACAGAGGGGCTCTGGCCCTTGGTATGGTATTATTATTCTAAGTATGGTTCAACCAGAAGCTCTGTAAGAGAGACGACAGAGGGGCTCTGGTCCTTGGTACCGAATTATTTCCCAAGGCTCAACCACAGAGGCTCTRGTAAATACCACAGMGGCTCTGGTCGTGAGACMAGAAGCTCTGGAARAAAGAGACCAYAGAAGCTCTGGTTGATACCACAGAGGCTCCGGTCGACACCACAGAGGCTCTGGTCAACCACAGAGGCTCTGGCCCTCTCCAAGACTTAGCACAGAGGCAGCCTTAGAGTTTCATCCTTAGCCCCGATGGCTTGATAAGACTTTTAAATAACAAGCGAATAGTCGACCAATGATAACCCTAGTCGACATAGTTGACCGTAAGTTGACTTTTATAGTCCTTGGAGAAATTTATGTACTATTCGCTATTATAAATTGTAGGTTACCAGTCAGCGCCGTTAAGTAAGCAATCGACGTTATCAGGCGAGTCTTCATGAGACTTACAATGGGATGCATACCTATGTATAAACTTATTTTCAAGCACTATACGATTTATATGATGATGGTACAAATGCATCATGTTTTAAGTTTACATACATGATATGTTTTACATGTATGACGTTTTATAATCAGTTGCATGCTATGTGTTTAATCAGTTTTCGAAAACTCTAGCATGTTTTTCCATACCAAAGTTTGATGATTTAAGGGTGGACATTTGACCAGGGAGTCACGACCAGTATAAAACACTACCCGGACAAGTGGGTGATAAGTTAAGATTTTGATACCCAGAGCGTGTTGGTGACTAATAAGTCACGACCAGTATGAAACACTACCCGGACAAGTGGGTAATCAATCGAGAATGAAGTATCAACCCAAGGTGTGTTTGTGACTAAATGACCCATTCCAGACAGATAATTTATGAGATCTCATTTCTTTCAGTGTTGCATGTTTTCAGAAATTGCATGCTACGTGGTACAAAGTTTACAAGTTGAAATGTATGACGTACAATGATTTTATACACGAAAACCATGAACTCACTGAGCTTTATAAGCTGACTATAATATGCATCTCAGGCCCAGGTAGTTCGAGGACGGATAAAGGCAAGGGGCATGCTTAGAGAGTTGCTCATTATCATCTCATGTTAGTCTTTTGTCTAAGATGCGCTGTAATGATCTTTTGTAACTTAACCCCAAGAGAAGGTGGGTTAGAACTTAAGTTAGATTTTGATGATTCAAAGACTTCCGCTGTAATAGTTTAAATGGTTTTAAATTAGCCATTACTTTGATGTATTTATTAAGGAAATGTTTCAGATTACGTAACATCTCTCTTGATGAAATTCAGGGTGTTACAAGTATAACTTAGTAAAGCTTCATATTTCAATTCGTATAACTAATTGCAGATAAACATAATCAAATAGAGGATAAGCATCTCATTTTAAATATAAAAGATCTAAAATATAATTGAGATAGTCATTGAGTTCTAACAAAATACTTAATTATTATCTTTATAAAAAATTATATTATTAAACCAAAAATAAAAAACGAATTAAAGAAATACACAAAAAACGAGAACATTTTAAATAGTTAGTTTGATACTAATATCAATATATTTTTTCAATTTATATGACATATCTTCATATTTATATCTTATTCAAAAATAAAAACATTATCGTTTTCTCAAAAGCACGTCAAACTGTATTATATTATCGATTGAAACAAAAAAAAACACTAAAATCGAAATATATCTCGTTGCATTTTACGAGTACCCTTCTAGTAAGTTTGAAATATAAACAACCTTCATCTTTGTTTCCATGAAATAAGCATTACATCATTAATTATTCGTAAAATTACAAATATTACAATATTTATAATAAACCCTGCAAAACTAAACAAATAGACATGAAGGTTGGTATACAAATATTACCTATAGAATTTTGTTCCCAAGAAGACCACCTAAGAGAATCTCTAAAATTTTCTTCAAAACGGAGAATAAAAAGTCAAAATCTTTAAAAAAAATTACATTTATCTTTAACAGATTCTCTAATTTGGAGAATTCAACATTAATTATAATATTAAAATATTTTATTTATCTATTAAAATGTTATTTTTGGCTCTAAATATTAGGTTCCTTATCTTTTGATAACAATAGTATACAAAAATGGTTAAAGCAAACTTCAATAAGTGAGGACATAGCTGCAGACATTTCTCATTAAGATAATACTGGCCCTAGTCTGAATTTCTTCAAAGCCACTAGGAAATTCTATTATTGTTATCTTCAAAGTCTCATGAAATTAATCGATGAAAATAATATAATTTTGAATATATGATTAAAATTTTACATTGTTTCCCGATATGTGCCTAAATAAAATGCAACCGTTACAAACAACGGACATGCCAAAAATATTCGATATGAAAAATTCACTTAGTATGCAATTTGTAATCAAGTGGTAACCAAACAGAAGTAAACATATGACAATATGTTTATATGGTATTAGTTGAATTATAAAGGTAAAATGTATTATGTTAATAGATGTAGAAAATGCATCATCATATTTTACGAAAATATAAGAATGTCAAAATAAATATCTGATGTGTTATAAATAATGTATAGCAATAAAATTCAATCAAAGGGTTTATATGCAAAAATAAAGAGGAAGGGTGTTGGATATTGAAGAATTCAAATGAGGTTTTGATATAAATGATGGTGTGAGATGTTTATATGATGAATAACAAGTGTTGAAATGAATTTGATATATGATGAAACAAACTTGATTAGTCAAGCTACTAACATTCCCATAGTGTGACAGGTGGTGTGTAGAACGCCCGGGAACAGATTCACCACCAGGGCCTTGTACACACCGCCCGTCACACTATGGGAGATGGCCATGCCCGAAGTCGTTACCTTTACCGCAAGGAGGGGAATGCCAAAGGCAGGGCTAGTGACTGGAGTAAAGTCGTAACAAAGGTAGCCATATTGGAAGGTGCGGGTGGATCACCTCCTTTTCAAGGAGAGCTAATGCTTGTTGGGTATTTAAACAATATATATGAAGAATAGAGAATTTGTAATCAATGGCGGACCTATGAAATTTTATTAGCAGATGTCCTTTTAAGGAAATCTTATACCTGTGAAAAGTCAACATCGTTAGACTAGGGAGAAAGTCAAATAGTGTATATTTGGAGAATAAAATATATTTTTTCATATTGAATTGGTCATTTAATCAAGATACAAAACTACGTCTTATGTTCGATGTGTTTTTAGTTGAATTCCGCAGTTCCAGGGAACTTTTTTGTGTTTTAGGTTGATTTCGTAAATTTTTCTCAATTTTTAAGACTTGATTTGTCGTTATCCTTCCTTTAACTTTTTCTTCTACGTTTTAAATTTCGTTTCTTACGCATGTAATGTAGGACTTTTAAAATACATTTTCCTTAAACATTAATACTATCTATACTATATTATAAAACATGTGACATAAACTCTTAAAAACTATTTTGTATGCATGGAGTACTGTTGATTGATGCATATTACTTAAAATTCAAGATTACAAGTGATTTTGCGTAAGTACAACTTATTAAAGCTTTATTTTTAAATTTGTGTAACTAACTGCAGATAAACATAACCACATACAAGATAAACATCTATTTTAAATATAGAAAATCTAAAATATAATTAAGATAATTATTGAGTTCTAACAGAATGTTTAATTATTATCTTTATAAAAATTATATTATTAAATCAAAAATAAATTATTTTGTTATTAAATCTAAATTAAATTATAATAAAAATTGAATTAAAGAAGTTACACAAAAAAAACGAGAACTATTAAATAGTTCATTTGATACTAATATCGATTTATTTTTTTTCAAATTTTTATGCTATCTTCAAATTTATATTTCATTTGACAAAAAAACTCTTAAAATCATATTATCTCGATAGAGACAAAAAAAAAACCAAACATTAAAATAAAGATTTATCTCGCTGTATTGTATGAGTATCCATCTAGTCTTTATAAAGAAACAAGACAACAATTAGGGTTTTGAGAAAATAAATATCAAATTAACAGATTTAGAGTCTCTTTTATTTGACATTTTTAATTTTAAAGAATTTGAGAACAATTCCAAATCTTGTCCCTTTTTTGTTTATTAGACTATGTTTAATGGTTATCTTAAAAATGAGATTGTGATTAATAAAAAAATTGTGATTGATAGAAGACTTTATTTAAGAAATTATACAACTAAAATAAATATTTTTTAAAATTTCTTATAATTTATAAATAGAGCTCAATATTGACATATTTTCATCACACCATATATGAACACAGTATGGTAAGTTTTTATAATTACATTTTAAAATATGTTATATTCCGTTTAATCTATTTTTTATATACTTAAAATTAAAAAATAACAATTAAATACGATAAAAATTCAATATGTCTTTTTTACAAAATAATATTTTAGATTGGATTAGATCACCAATGGACGATAAAAAAATGAGATTGGGTTGGAGTTGAAGATTGTGAGGTGGATGAGAGGAGATATATTTATTTCATACCTGAAAAAATTGCAAATGCATAGCAAGAGCAACGAGAGGATGAAAATGGTCTGAGAGAGGCCAGGTCAATTATTGCAGGCAAATGATTGAGAGAGATGACTGATGTTATGTAGAAGACAATGAATGATGTTGTGCAGGAGGTGATAGAAATAGGGAAGAAGGGATAAAATCGGAGGAAAAAAAAATCAAGGGCTTGATACTCTGACTACGATAAGTGTGAAGTTTGTTGCCAACCGCATATGTGCCAATAAGAAGAACGATTAGAGATCTTATTAAACAAGTAATTAAAGTAAACAACCCTACCTCTTAATGGAGTAAGAGTTTTTGTTGGATCAGACCTAATAAGAGGCAAGTAAGTAGCCCCTTAAACTCATGACTATATTTTGACTAATAAAAGAGGGACTGGTTTAACTGATATATCCATATAACATACGGGTTTTTTTCCTAAAAATGCACCACCTGCCCATTCTCCTCTTAGTGAATGGTCTAGTAAAACTGGATCAGGCTTAAGGGTATCTTCAATAGACGAGTCTTGAATTGGTACATTGCCACAATCAACATGAAAAAAACCGGTTTATACATTTATGAAACAAAAAAAGGTGTACACATTCCACCATCACTTTTTGTGAAACCCAAAATCATTTTAATAAGTAACTAATAAGTGAATTTTTATAATTTTCAAATAGATCTATAAAATATGTAAAAAGAAAAATCCAACAATGACAGACGATTTAAACAGGTCAATATCAGTTCCACATTTTGAGACCGAAGACGGGTACATGGTGGCGTCTTTTTTTTGCTAATAGGCATTCTGTTTCTAATTCATTTATAATGTTGTCAGCTATTTGTCCCCGGTTACATCTAGACTGAAAATGATTTTGTAGGATACATAACTTTTGAAACTTGTGAAAGAAAATGATGGCAAGAATATATAGTTTAATCTTAATGCAATATGCATGCAAGTCTATTGTGCTCGTCCATTTTCTTACAAAAATTAGGAAATAGAATTTTTAGAAATCTATGACTTTTCAAGCTTCTTCCAGAGATAGAAAGCCCTTCTAATAACCGAATCAAGCGAAAAACCTTCTGCATAAGCACCAATCGCTGTCAAGAGGTTCGTAAATTTCTCTCCATTGTCCTGCATCAATTCAAAAGTCGGTCATCAAACCAAATATACATCATGTATAAGAGATATGAAACACCAACCTCTGGCTTTTTAAATGCAAGATCACTGATGGAATATGGGACCATGTAGTGTGGGAGATCTGAACGCAAAAGGGCCTGCCAAAAATACGCCGTTACAAATAGAAAAATATGTCATCTTGTGTAGTTTGTCGTTATTAGGGATCAGCAGGAGTATATAGACATCGCAAGGATCATTGTAACAGTTTTCTTCTACTAGTAGTTGTCAGTATTGTGTTTTGTGTTTCCTTGTTTGTTCTAATCTATTTTCCTCACATGTGTCTGTGCTGCATTTTGTTTTTTGTACATGTTGCTTGATTGCGCACTCTCACAAGTAGCTCGCTCTCTTGTTCCTTTTAATATTTAAACATGGGACAACAAGTTGTTATCCTGTCATGTCCCGCTTATAAACGCACCCCTAGAAGGGTTAGAAAGTGCAACTAAAATAACCTCAAAGAGGAGCTCTTTCTCTTACTGTACCCATGTAGAAGTTGCAAGAGCAGATTATTCATTGTGTTGTGAGAGAATCTCGAGCTCATAAATATCTCAAACAGAAGTGAGCATGTGGAACAGTAGTCCCTAGTAGATGAGAATCCCAAATGATGGGCATAGAATTAGTTAGTGGTGACATCTCAAAATGGTGGACGAGAACTCAACATCATCAAGCTTATCCATCTAGTTATAATATCCTTGCTAATCATTAGAAAACAATAAGCACTTGCGTTTATTACCCATCTAGGAGCAGGTCTGAGTTTACGAGTACTTTTAGCTCATTCATTAATTAGTGCCCAGTGGATCTATTTGAGATGTTAAGCATTCTCTTATTTTATTTTTACGGCCATTTAGACTCGTGAGATATATGACTGTAAATAATAGTGCTTGAAAAGTGTGATTTTATTATGAAGTAAAGACCACAATTTAAACGTCGATTGGAATACTAAAGTGCAACAAAGAAAGCCTAAAAGTCGGCAGAATATCCATCATTCAAATTCAACAAATGCACAATAGGAGGTTATCCAACTGTTGGAAAGTTAGAATGCTAATGGTGATATTGCTAGTCACTTACCAATTCTTTGCTCAATAGGGCCTGCTCCTTATTTGCTATCAAAGCCTACACATTAAATTCACATACCAGCTATTAATTTTCTCTAGTATAATATAATCACAAAAACTGAAAGCTATAAATTCATCAGCATAATCAAACTACAGGATTGCAAGAACCAGCAGATTTCCTCTTGGGAAAATGAAAACAAGGCAAAAGAAAGTTGCTTTCAAATATCAATTCTAAACATTTCCTGCACTACTAAAACCTGGAAGAGGAAGAAACGAGATTACAAAGAAATGTGACTCGGTTGTATCATACTTATTTTCAGTTTTTGCAGCCTTTTGGAATTTTTTGGACAAAATTAGAACGGTGTTGAGAAAGAGACTGTCGATATCAAGAGGAACAAGAACGTAGGACAAAAGGGATACAAAGCACCATTTCACAAGATTAAAATTCCCTTACGCCAAATTGGACTTTCACAAGTAACATTTTGGAATAATTTTCTGCAGAAGTACGTGGGATCCAATCTGAACCCAGTTGTTTTCTCTGGTCTTTCGATCGAGGAAATTAATGGTCTCAGAACTGAAAGCTGTAATTGATGGGCACTGGTAGGAACTCAAACAATTTGGAAGAATGAAAAGATTAAAAGCGAGGGGAGATTAACAATTGATCATAAACGAAATTGGGAACATACGATTGAAAGAACAAACACGATTCCAGGGAAAACTTCCCTCCCTCAAAGCACCAGCTAAGAGACTAACTCAATTAACAAGAAAAATCACCATGACCTCATGCTACCAGCAATCCCGCCATTTATTAGACACGCTTTCAATCTGTAATAGCTAATTGGGTCCAGCGCTATCTTCCACTCTTTTGGGCATGGAATAAACATTCAATCACTTTGGGCTTGGGTAAAGACTGGATCAAATTAGAAGGATCCATATCAAGCAGCCATGCAATATTAGAACTTTTTCTGGAAATCAAAATGGACTATAGCCGTTGGATATATGCTGAGCAATTGTTAAACGAATGTATTACCAGGGAGAGAGGGACACTTGGTAAACGAGCTCCTGTCCTGTAAAGACAAACAATAACATTTTTGGCACTCCTGAACTCTGATCGTAGGTACCATCATGCCCAACTCACAACAAAAAAAACCAATCTGAATATGCAGTAGAGGCTTTATCAGATGTAAGCAAGCTGGTAATGGTATACCATCCAAACATGAACCGTGGGTACTTGGTCCAGCTCAACTATTATGGGTAGTCAAGACCAGTAGTAGTGGGAGGATGGCAATGTTATCAAGTATAGACACTAGTGATGAGAGGCAGAAATGCAGTGAAAGGGGAATGCGAAGCCAAAAACCAAAGAGGGTTGAACTAAAATTTCTGGATTATTTTATCCATAAAAAATCTAGATAATCCAAAAAAGAGATACCTAGAGTAACATAAATACTACGAACAGTAGGAGAAAATAGGTGTTCGAACAGATACCTAGAGCATAGACTGATAGACTCCGTCATCCTCATAAGGATTGGTGTTGAAATCCAGAATTTAATCGTAGAGATAAGGGTTAAATTAGGATTATCCTTTTCCTGATTTAACTAGGATTGACAGATCTCTTTTCTGATCTTTATGTTATAATTTAAGGAGAATTGATTCTAAGTTACTATAAATATGGAGGCTCTAGTGTATTATTTGATACAAGGCTCAGCCAAAAGAATTCTATACATAAATAAGAAAATTATTGTTGAATTCTTATGTTTATCAGAATCATCAATTTTGAACATCCATTTCCATTATTTTCAAATTTTCAATTTTATTTATTTTCCACCTCAAGGCTTATACCTCAGACCTCCTTGAGGCTTCTAAAAAAATGACTACGGACATTCTATGGTGCTAGGAGTCTATGACATAAGTGTGCTTTCCCAAATAAAATGACTAACAAGAAACACAGTAACAAAATCCAAGTCTTAGAATTGTTAAAGTTCCATAGAAGGGTATCCTAGATGGCAATAAATAGTCTCCAAGATTCATATAAAATGTCAATCAACCAAATTGTCCCTGATACTTAAAAAAACATGGTGAAAGAGAATGAACATTATTACGCAATTGTGATTTTCAGTGATCTGGCTACCAAATGTGAGAATTTTCAATAAAGGTGGGAAAACATATGACCAAGTGTAAAGAAAACGAACTTGAAAATTTCCATGGCCTGTAGAATTAGAAACCCTTATACTATCAATGTACATAATGCATACCGTGTAATTCTAAAATCGTCAAAATCAATCTTAATTAATCAGCAACAAGATTAGATCATCTCCAAACAAAATGTATTATCAAAATGAGAATCCAGCTTATTTCCAATAGCAGCACTACTTCTGTTTAAAATTCTGAAAGTAACACTTGTTATAAACTTTTATGCTCAATAGAAAAATTCATCAGAAATCCACACCGACACTAAACAATCCAATTATACCTAACTAGTTTAGGAATGACACAGGAGTTGTGAAAGTAGTTTTAATACCAATATACAATTAAAGAGACTTGTGAAATAAGCAATGGAACCTTTCTGATTCGCTCCTCTTCAACTTGGTCAACATGTTGCAACAAATTCTCCAATGTACCTTTAAAATTCAGGTGGGCAAGAAATAAGTTACAACATCATCTATGACACCTCAAATAACAACAAAAATGATAATGTACAAAGTTGGAAGAAAACCCAAAAAGGTGAAATGAAATATGAAATTAAAGAAAGCCCATTGTGAAAACTAGAGACGTGAAAAACTTATATACCAAATCTTGAGATTAGCTGCACCGCATGTACATCACCGATCCCATCAACTCCTGCATTGACATATTTTTATCAGATGACGGATTAGGAACCTCGTCATCAACTAGCAATTGTCACTGCAATTTTAATGGGTTTTAGGCAAGGCATCGGTTCAAGTCATGCAATTTCAGATAGAAATAGGGAATATTGTTTGGGCTTCCTATATTGTTTCAAAGGAGCATACTTGTTATGAAACCACAAAGCAAAGTAAGGTAGCAACCTTGCAATTTTTACAAATATGTATATACAAAAAAGGAAACATTAATAAAAAAGTTGAAATAAAATGCATGATGATTAACATCACACATCCGATGTATCGAACATTCACTTTTGTCCTTGGAAAAACAAAGTTAATCTAAAAAGTTTCCACAACAACCAACAAATACATAAGACAGTTATTGTGGTGCCATCACACCTTAATTTTTTGACACTCTACATTAATCTAAAATCATATATTCCCAAAATAATGATAAATCCATACATGATGAAATGAAAGATGCAAATTTGTGATGCATCACATAACACCTGTGGTGGACCCCAAGAGACCGAACAAATCTAACGAAAGGTATGGGAAAAAGTATCATCCATGACATTCTTCTTTGGACATAAGTTTACTTAAGGGATGGAACACAATTGTCATAGATTGAGTTTATTTAAAGAATGACATTCTTCTCTGGTTGATTAAGCTTTTATAGGTGATGGGAGTGGTAGTAAATATCCAATCACAATAGGACTCAGATAAGCACAACTAGGAGCAGGACAAGATGCTAGGAAGCTTATCCATAGTTGTCTAGCCTCAACATACATGGCACACAAATTGCATTATTGCAAGGTTCTCTTCTTTTATTATAGTGATTTTTTTAACATGCTCTCAGTATCTTAGTAACTTCTGATCCTGGCCTTCATACTGCTTGCAAATTGCAACATTCCCATATATAACTGGAATCATGTATCTTCACCAGGATGCAGATTGAGAAAAGGTCTTAAATTGCATGGGTTCTAGATAGCTTCTATTATGTCTGGAAGAAAAGCACCATCAGCAGCAATTGCTTAGTGAAATCCTTATCCAAATCATTTACCAGATTGTTTGGTCGTATAAATATGGGTTTAAAAAGGTGTCAATAACTCGGGGAAAAACCTTGAATATTTTAGCAACGTTGTAATTACCACTCCAAGAAGTCCTAATGAAGGTGTGTTAAATAAGCATATTATAGACTTATAGTCATTGCTATGACAGACAGATTCCGCCTCCGATGAGACTAAGAAGCTTCCATATCATAAAAGAAAAAAAGGACTACAAAGCTTCCAGCTAAGAAACTTCTTAACTTCTCCCCCTCTCAAGTATTGGCTCTCTACTGATAGAGCAGTTTGCTAGTTTGCATTCCTCTATCTGAATCTCTAACACTAACAGGCGACAATCACCAACTTAATCACTGCCTTCTTGTGACATCGATTGGGTACTCACACCAGACCCGAATTAGCTATTTCAGAGCTCTATCCCTTTCTTTCCTCCAACGGCCGTATAGCCGGGTCTAATTTTTCTCTCACCCAGAAGGTGGTAAGCCTGTGGGCTTGAAGAATAATTGTATTGGAACCCCAATACAATAACACTTAAAAAGCAGGACGGCACTTAACAAAAGGCCCAACTGGCTGGGGAGGCTTCATGAACATGTGAGCAAGCTGGTACTCTGTCCAAATATGAACCTTTCTGATGGATAGATTCTCTATAGTGGTTCCCGCAACATTTGTCACTTACCAAATGATAATCAACCACTCTATGTACAGGATGCTAGTGAAAAGCCAGATTTTGCTATGTGGATGGAAGATTGATTTTTCCTGTTCAGACAGAGTATATAGATATACAGAAACGCTAATATGATGTGAATCCCAATACAACAAACAATCATCATTCTCATTAAAAGGCGCCGAAAATAACCTGGTATGTTATCAGATCTGTCACCAACAAGTGCCATCACATCAACGAACTGAGAAGGTTCTATTGCTCCATACTTTTTAGCAAAATCCTCCATTCCAAATGAAACCATTCTGTAGAACATGCCAATTAGACAACATATGAAGTATGGGAAGCACAAAACTAAGTACAATGTTGCAACAGCAATCACAGAGGAGATGATATAATACATGTGTATATATTATACTTTTAAAATACTTAACCTAACGTAACAATGAAAAAAGTAATAATAGGCCAAAAATATAGAACAACATAAAAGAATGGTAGTGTTCTGCCAGTATAGGACGACAATAAAGACTGGTAGAACCAGTTGAAAATCATCCTGATGCCTAAAAAACCAGTAAAAGCAAGAAAAACTTTTGAACTTAAAGGTAAAATGCAGAATAACATTTGAACAAACTATTTTGGTGAAAGAAGAGACGTAATGCAAATTTCTACACAAGAAAATAAGACTCAAACAAAGTATCATGGTGATACTAACTCAAAACCACGAGGTGCAATTCGAAGAAGACGTAATGAAGGAGATAATATCTGGAAAAAGTCTTTGTCGGGAGAGACAACTCGAACCTGAAACAAAGCAAGTAGTAACTATTGATTAGAGCTTTATACTGTCCAACTTACTTAATGAATTTACAAGTATAAATTAAATTTTCCCACTCAGAACTACAAAATCAAAACCCGCAGATTAGAACCTGTAACAAAGGACGGTAGTAACTATTGATTGAAACTTTGTAGCAAATGGAACTTACTTGAAGAATTTACAATTGTGTGATGCTGGAATTTTTTTGAAGTAATACAAATTAAAAAAACCCTCTTAGAGCTAAGATCTTCAATTCTTCATCAATCCACATGCATATATATATATATATATATATATGTGTGTGTGTGTGTGTGTGTGTACATAGTTATACTATGAGCACAATGTCTTCACCATCTATAAAGTACTAGAAAGTTTTAACATGTTTTATGTTTCTTTAGTTTCGGTCACATGCTCACACATGTACATTTTATACACTTTCCTTCATGAAAATAATCATCTGCCTGGCCTTTTTATCATGGTAACCGGGCCTTGACCAAGATCCCTAACCCCACCACAATCCATCACATCAGCTCCTTGATGCCAGCCACGCTGCTGTTAGGTGGTGTGGCATTGTGTTCTGTTGACTTGGACCTGTTCTTTCAGACTTGTAAACTTAGTCTGCAGGAGATTTGCTTGGTGAAATTGTTGTTATTTCCAATAAAATTGTTTTGGTACTGCTATAATCTACTTTGACAACCATGGGTGATGAAGAAAGGAAGCTGCTAGTGGTTTTCTCAGGTGTAATTCTTTGCTTGAATCTGGTCAAGATTGTCCTGTTTAAATTTGGAAAAGTTTAAAGAGAAAAATCAGGTCCAAGGGTCTCCTTACACGAAAATGATCTTATTAGCATGGATTAGTATACATATCTGACTTGTGATCTTCGACCCATGCCTACAAAGAAAGATGAATGGTTGATAATGCTTTGCGACCTCAGTGGATTGATGAAGCCTATTGTTGCCACCATCTCCTTGACCTATCAGAGTGTGAACACTTCATATTCAGGTTGAGAGGGTTCTAGTATATTTCATTCTTGCTCTGTTGCTCAGACTTCTATTTGTAAAGAGGGTAATTGTGCTGTCACCAAATACTTTGCTTCAGGAGCTTGGACCGGAAGTTTAATGCATTGAAGCTGCACGTCTTTTCAGCTTATACTTGATCACTCTAGAGCCAATATGGTGACCGTGTTTATCATTTGTTGCATGAGATATCTAGACCCTTGTACAGTTAAACAGGAGGACTCATACGCTCTTGTTGCTAGTAACGACGTTTCTGGAAGGGATTCTGGAGAGGAGATTCAGGTTTTGATTCTTGTAGAGGACTAGGGAAGTAGGAATTGTGGTTTGGGTCTGCCTAGAGCCTCTGGACGAGCTCTTGAACGACTTTGGTGTTCAAACATGACCAATTAAGTGTTTATCTCTTGAACTGGGTGGGAATTTTCTAGTCTTCTCTGAACTACTGCACAAGCCCAAACAATTCAAATCGAACAGTTAGAAGCTCAAGGAAAAGTATCAATCTCATGATTCCACTCAGCCCTGTAACGTCCAAACTTCTGCTGCATGTAAAAAGGTGAAAAATGATGACCCCTCGGCTTATGCATGCCTGACTCTTAGGCTTGCAGTGTCTTGCAGGAGTATTCATGCTGCAAACTAGGGAACTCCAATACCCATGAGTATATGATCCACTTCAACGAGCTACTGGAATTCTTCCCACATTATCTTGAATCTACTGTCGGGAATGTCAAGAACCTTGCAGTTGCTCATTCTCCTCTGGTACTACTCAGCTACAGCATATTTGTCATCTAGATATCACCTCCTTTGTGATATGTACCCAATAAGGTGAAAAGCATTCAGTTCAGGCAATTCGGCCTTGGTTGCCTTTATGACGGCAACAGGGCAGTGAAAAGCATTCAGTTGAGGCAATTCGGCCTTGGTTGCCTTTATGGCGGCAACAGGGCAGGTTTCTAGAAGACCTCGCTCATCCCCGCACAACATTGGGCAGATATGGGGTAACTAAAAATAGGGGCAACACGCGGGTTGAATTTTTTGACATTTGGATTCCAACAAATATAGAATATGTAACACCCCACTTTCCACATTTGCATATAAACATGTACTTAATATATTAAGAAATACAAATACACCACTTTGGTCCCCCTAATACAAGAAATTATAATACATAATTTACAACTCAAAAATTCCAAAATAATCTTCTTGTACATCACATGTAAGAACAACATGTATTCCCAAAATCCACCAGCTAATAGGTTGATCTTCAAAGAGCAGTTAAGCACATAAATAAAATAATCACATTTTCCCCTTCCCCTTATCCCTGGACCCAACCGGACCTACAATGCATATTTTTAAGGTCTAGTGAGAAAACCCCTTCTTTGCAATTACAAGGTGAAGATCAACAAAACTTGTTTAAAAACCACATTTCTACATCCAACCACTTTAAATAAATATAACTTCAGTAAAACAACAACTGCAAGTTATAAAAGCATTTCTTACCAAAAGGATAATGTACCACTCAGATTCTTACAGACATCTGGAACACAACTCTCAAAGCTCTCACGTCTCATCAGACTAGAGCTTACAGTCTCAACCTCCAAATCATACAAGGAAATACAAATCACTAGAGTTCTTGGTTATTAATAAAAGCTTTTTAAGATACAAACAGTTTTAAACTTGAATGAAACCTGAATCAATTAATAACCAAAGACCCTCTGGGTTTTATTTCAAATCTCTACTCTTTTGAACAATCAAAATACGATATCTGATAACTCAAAATCATTTGAAACATGAGCAACTAATGCCTCCGACTATAGGCCATTTTCCCCTTCTCAATAACATTGTTGTTATCATTTCAGTAAGAGCAATATTTCCAAGTCTTCATGTCACAAAGAAATGTTGACTCAGAATTATCGCATCTTACGGATGTTACAACAAGAGCTATAATAGTAACACACACAAATGCCACCCTTATCCAAATATACACCTCTCCTTGATATGTCACCCTTATCCCATTGTACACCTCTCATTGATATGCCACCTTTGTTTCCTCATTAAATCGACAGATTAATCTGTAGTTTTAGCCAATAATGGCCTCAAAACAGTTTCATATCAGAAACCTTATCTCAAAAACTCTCATAATTCTTAAATTCACTTTTCAATCTCAACTCAACATTCTTTCATAAACAGTTTTCTTATCTCAATAGTTTTTCAAAGAAACAACAGTACCTTTAGAAAGATGCAAGTTACCCTTCTCAACACAAAACAGTTTTGAAACTGTTAAACAATATTTTGGAAAAGTAACAATTTCCATCGGACAAGCTCTGGGCGATAACTGCCCCTCATGGGCCAACACTGTTGCCGATAACCCTCTCATCGGACAACACTATCCGGATATCGGACAACACTTCAATTAATAACAATAATAAAAACATCCTCATCGGACAACATTGTGTCCCGTAACTCACCTCACTGGTCAACACTAAGTCCGGTAACAACCTCACCGGTCAATACTTGAAACATCAACATTTAACCCGGACAACGATTTGTCCGATGAGCATCCTCACAGGACAAGACGTTGGACGATAAACCCCAATCTGGTCAACTCTTTACAATCCCAAACATTAAACCGTTCAACACCTGGGCGATAAAATGCTCATTCCGGACAACTCTGGTCCGATAAAGGCCTTTGCCGGACAACACTTCGTCCGGTAAAGTCCTCACCGGACGATGTATAAAATACACAACTCCCACACTGGTCAAGGCATGACCGATAAAGGACTCTCATCGGACAACACTGTGTCCGATAAAACCCCTTCATCGAACCATACATCTCAATAAGAACATATACACAACATTCATAAAAACATGTAAAACCCAGAATTTCAACAACATTTATAAGCTGAATTCGAAAACTGTTTATAAAACTCACCTTATGCAAGAGTTTTTTGAATGAAAAACAGCAACATAAATCAGCTACCAATAAATCTCAATTCCAGCTTCAACTTGAAATCACACAGAAAACTTACTTTCTCTCCTTTTCCTAATTCTTTCTAAAAGTGGCAAGAAAGTTTCCTCTTCAAAAACTCTACTTTAAATACCTTCTAAAAGGAGGTTTGGAAAAATTTAAATATTCTTTCTCCCTTCCTCACACACATGCACATATACATAAATACATCATCCATATTTCATGCATGTATATATATGTATCTACATATATATACAAATCCATGCATGAATATACAAATATGCACATACTCATATTTTCACATATATATGCATATACATACCACATGGATGAATTATAACAATTAATCACATACTCACGTAACCACATAATCAAATATTAAATACCTCAGATGTATAACTAGAACCCGGTTATCACAGAATATAGCAAAAAAGCTGTATGTGCACCATATATACATCATTTCAATCGTACGGATAATATATATTTATAAGTTCATAACATTTATTTGTATTTTCTTTCGTAATTGTATTTATATATTATTAGTTGATATTTGAAAAATTGTATTAAAATTTACATTTATAGTTTTGACTTGTATTTTATAGGTTAAATGGGTATAAAAATGCAATATATTATAAGTTGGTTGGGTGTTGGGACGAATATGGAGCGTGGTAATTAGGGAAGGACAGAGGGAATACTGTCTCATTGTCATCCCTAGTTTCTCCTGATCATGGAAATATTAAACCTTAGAAAAGAGGCAACGAAAACTATTTAGGTCCCTAAAAGAACTTGGAAAAGAAAGTTCAGTGCAATTATCAAAAGAGACGTAGGGTTACAAAAGTGTGATTGTCCAGATCACCAAGCAAAGTTTCCAGATCTCAACTTGAGGCCCAACATCCCATGCTCAGATTGCTTCTTCCTCTGACACACAAATTACTTCCTCTACAGAGCAATCAAGTAAAGCGTTTTCAACTCCAGAAAAAAGAATCCACTAATTCTTTCTACTCATCCATTCAGGGCAGTCCTCTCCAAGTGTTACCCTAGCACAGCCACACATAATATCTCCCTACTTTACAGCATGTAATCCTGGATAGTTTACTCCAGCCAATGGATCATATAATTACTTGACTGCATGTACTCATCCTAGATAGTTAGTAGTCCATCTTGTAGTGGAGTATGAATACTACGTATGCCATTGAAAATTTAAACCGTCTACTTGAATAACATGTGTTTCAAGTTTCAACTTGTTCCATTAGTGTCTAGAATCACCTAAGCTCCTAGTTTCTCCCTAACTTCTGTTTTATAAGGTTTAAAACTTCATGAAATCAAGTGGGCTACTTCAGTGAAGGAAGTGCTAGGGATGTGCATATGCAAGTATCTTATCCAAGTTTATATGACCTTTTACTAGATTTCTACCAAATATTGCACTTTTACAGCTTACTATATACCCAAGAACATGATAAAGGCCCATCAACATCCAAGTTGGTATGTCATGAAGAAAGAGATTCATACAATTCAAGAGAATAATACTCCAGTTCTAGATATCCTTCCATCTAGAGAGCACTATGAGAAGGTTCTCTCAGTGGTTGAAAGTTCGCTGTGGCTAACAGGCTATTCTCACAGGTGGCACCTCATTCTGGATCAGTTTTTCTCTAGCTGTTCACTAAAACACTCTTCGATTAGTTTGATATGAAGCACAAATTCCTTTAAGGTTTTCTGAAAGAGCTAAATGCATTTGACTCATCCGTGCTTGCACAAAACATGTCTTGATCTGTATTGCTGTATGGTGTTGTTAACTAGAAGTCGTTCAATCAGTCTGATATCAAACATGTCCTTTTCAGTGGCATGCTTGAAGATATTTATATATAGTATGCTGTAGAGGCTTTAAAAGTCTGACTTTGAAGGTCTTCCTAAGATCTTTAGTGGTCTTCAAAGCTTGGTTTGGTCACTTCAACAGGTACTCATCAAGTTCGTTATGTCCCGCTTTAGTTTTTTTATAAGTACCACCTTCACACAAGAGACTACTTCAGTGATCTACACATATGACATGGTGGCCGTTTACTTGGACATAGTTGACTTGAACAATTCTTCATAGAATCACAAATATCGATCCAAATATAATATTAGACTCAGCAAGTAATCAAATGGCAAGTGCCTTTTTCCATGAGGATACTGGACATATAGAGGTTGATTGTCGTATAGTGGGCAACCATTGTTCGATTTTCCGCAATTTTTTCCAGATTGAAATATGATGCTAAATGGAGACCGAGATAGAGAGATACGGCTGGACTTAGGGGGGGATTGGGTTCGTAGGGGCGCTTGCGCGCTCGAAAACCCCTGGTCCGCAACTGTTTCGGAAATTACTAGAGAGACTCCACCCACCTCTTTATTTTGGGACCAACTACCAGTGTGACATTTTGACAAAGCCTCTATGGAAGGCAGAAATTGACAAGTTGGACTTGATAGACTTAGGACTATTACCAGCATTAGTGTTTCATATATTTATGTTCCCATTCCATAATCAATCTACCATATATTCTTTTATACCCTAATTAGTAATGGTTCCTTCGATAAAAGGCTTACGATACCTATCAATCTACACTATAAGAAAGAATAATAGCATTATATCACATCTGAAAGAGTTGCAAAACTTACCTTGAACCCAGCTTCAACACTGCGCATGGCCAAGGTCCCAATAACATCATCGGCTTCAACACCAGGAACCTACCTTGGTAAATAAACACATCAACAAGATACAAGAAACCATAATTGACAGATTTTTTAAGCAATAACAAACCTCTTACCTCAATGACTTTAATGGACATCGCTTTGATGGATGCTTTCAAGTATTGAAGGCCCTGCACTATTGTATCCGGCGTCGGTGGACGATTGCTCTTGTACGAGGGGTAGAGAGTGTGCCTAAAGGTCTGGCCTAAGAAAAGATTCAAGCACATTGCATTGAACCCACTTTAGACCCACATAACAGAAAATATTCTCATAGTTTGTCTTAATATTATTTGAATGCAGAAGCAACCCATGAGACAAATTAGTATGATGCTGAATTTGATGGTATAATAAAGGCTCTGAGAGAAGCTAAAAGAGGAGATAAATGGCTATTTAATTGATATGAGAGTACAGAATGAATGGAGCTAATGATTAAAAATAAAAAAGACGGAACAAATTTTTATGTATGAATGATGTGATCATTATAGTTGCTCATAAATGCACGAGTTCAAAATCAAAATAACCTCTAAAGGATTATTGGAGATGGAACTCTTCGTATGTCAAATCTTATAAATGTTGGCAAAAGACATTTGTAGAAAACAAACATACATTAAAGGTTTAAAAACAAGAAAACACAAAGAATGGAAAAGAAAAGGATAAACACAGAAGGGCAGATAAGGCAGGTGAGGGTGGATACAACACAAATTCCAGAGGCCGAGGATATAACAAGTAGATCTAGAAACTCAAATAACCAAAGGTATAAAGCCCTCCAAAACATCCTAGCCCCTAAAATCAGCGATGACACCACTTACAGCTACGCCACTGTCCTCTTTGCTTCCTTGGGTATTCCCAGCTATAAGAAACCACCATCAGGTGTCGATGATATGTATGCATGACCAGGAAAGGACCACCTTACTTTTTTGTCAGGGCCATAGGTCAGCAAAGTCATCGGCCTGATGCGAGCCTGTCGCCAGTGGCAACTCCCAGTATGTTTTCTGCTTAACATCTATCCATCCTAGGGAATCAAACCTGTCCTATCCAGCAGCATCTTATAGGGCCATCACACTTCTTTAAGGGTGCTCATTTTTCTAATGCCTAGCGTTGTTCACTTAATCTGATTCTAGATCCCCTTCATATCCTGTCTGCATCCTATTGTTTTTGTTCTAGATTTTCGTTTCAAGTATTTGCTTTTGAAAATGACTAATAAAACTACAAAAGTGAAGAAGCCATACAATCTTTATTCAGCCATTTTTTTAATTGTGTCAAACTAACGTTGGATTTAGTGGTGATTGCTTTTAGAAAGCCTCCTGAATGGAGCTCAAATGTTGACCTTATAAATTAAGCAAGAATGCCTAGAATCCAACACTAGGATATCTATATTGAGTTGTTCCTCGAAATATTTAGAGTTATTCTGGTATATTCCTACTATATCAGATAATATAGAAGTCTAAAATCACATAGATATATCAATTTTATAGGATACATTAAGACTAAAGCATTTTTCCTCCAATTGGTCGGATTCTGTCTTCTGTGGAAATAGTTGATTTGTGACTTTTCCAGAAGACCAAGTGCACTATATGTGTAAATTTGAACTCTGTGTATCCATTCAAAGAGGGAGAGACGGATACAGGCCTCTAGGACCTAGTGAACAAGAAAATTGAAGCCTAATACTCATGGTTTTACAAATCGTTTGAGGCATACGCCTCAAGGTGAAGCAGCCCAAAACAACATATTTAGCGGCACCTCTTAGACCTTGGACGAGGCTTACGCCTTGGTTCAATGAGGCGGTTCGGTTAGGCATGAGGTGCTGTCGAGGCGTATGCCTCAGATGATATGCTTTGGTAATGTTTTTTTTGGCTTTTTTATAAGCTTTTTGGCAGTGGTAGTACTTTCTCTTTGTGGTGTGTCTTTGATAACAAGGATTCCTATTTCGCGATGATATTCCGAGGTCTGATTCACACTGAGAAATATTTACCATCCAAAAAGAGGAAAAAACGGAGTCTTTGTCTAAAGAAATGCGTTGAGAAAGGCAGTAGCAATTTTATGAAAAGATTAATTGAATTTTACAATTAGATCCGCTCTTCATAGACAACTTTGGGATTAGTGGTCGAGTCGGTTCTTTCAAATTGTTTCTGAGTTCCTATTTGGAAGGCTGCAATTTCTTAACTGTCGCAGTTTCTACTCTCAGCAGGATTCAAACCCAGATGAAGTTCTGACCATCTTATAAAAGTCAAAGTGGAATTGCCTCAATGTGTACTTTTAATATTTTAGAACCCCAAAAAAACTAGTATCTTCTCTTCTCAATCAAAAAGTGTGGTTTGACCCTTCCTCTTCCTCCGTGGATTGGTTGATGCTCAAAGTCGCTTCGTGGAAAGAATTGATTAGATTCGGAAGGTGGGGAAAGCTGAGTCCTCGTTATATAGAACCCTTTTGAATAATCCGAGAAGTGGCTTATTGGTTAGAAAGGCCAGTTGAGCTACAAAAGATACATAGTACATTCCATGTATCCAACTTGAGGAAGTGCTTGGCCAATGAAGAAATGAAGGTCCCATGGGAAGAGATTCGAGTCAAAGAAAAGCTAGACATATGTGGAACAACTAGAAAGGATAATTGATCGAGCAGTTTGAAGATTAAGGAATAAAGAGGTTGTGTTGGTCATTGTTTTAAATAACGGCAGAGGCGTATGCCTCAAGGCACGCCTGATGTTGAGGCGGCCCAATAACGTCTATGAGGCGTCTCCTTTTACTATGTTGATGATACGTACGCCGTACGGAAGTGGGACGGTGAAGAATCTATGATGTGGTGAAACTATGATGAGGCGTCAGACTTTTTGTGGGGTTAGACTTTTAGTGGGTTAGAGTCTTAGTGGATTAGACTTTTAGTGGGTTATTGACACCTCTACACGTGGATGTGTTTTATTTTATTTAAATAAATGAAAAAAAGTCATAATCCTAATATTAGATTTTCAAGAGAAACAAAAATGGCAGCTCTCTTTTTCAAACCTTGCGACTTTTCCTCATACAACCTCATTAGTTCTCTTTAACCTGCTGCATTGGAGACTTGTACCAACTGTTAGTATATCTATATTTCGTATCTGTATATATGCTATGTACAAGTATATGCATATATATTCTGTTTTTGTATATATGCTACATAAGTATATATTTATATATTATGTTTCTGAACTTGCTGATGAACAACAAATCTAACCTGCTACATACAAGTATATATACATATATATGTACATTCTGTTTTTGGGGCTTACGCCTCAACCTTCTCGAGGCTTACGCCCCACGTGCCAAAGGAGAAAACGCCTCAACGCTCGTTCCCGTTCTTTAAAACCTTGCTGTTGGTTAAAGTGCACTGGAAATATCATAAAAGTCGCAATGCCACTTGGGAAAATGAGAAGGAAATGAGGCAAAGTTTCACCATCTATTCTAAGAGAAGTAGATTCCGATGACGGAATCTCTTGTACAGAGGGAGACTTGTAACAGCCTGTCTAAAACTGATTAAAAAGAGAATATAGGGGCTATTAAATATTAACAAACAGAAAATAAAGAGGTTGTTGAATATTAATAAACAGAAAAATGGGGTTTTAGATATTAATAAAAAAACTTTAAATGAAGGGGCTGTTAAATACTAATAAAAGAACTACAAACAAAAAAAGAAAGCTGGCAAATAAAAGAGCTAGAGACAAAAAAGGGGATGCTAGTGGCAGGTGGTGAGATGTTTCAATTTGGCATAGGTTGTTTGGAAGAAGGCCACATCAAGTGGTGACTTACCTAGTTCCAGCTTCTCAACCTTTTTGCATAAATAGGCAGCCTCATTCTTGTTTTTTCCCTCCTTTCATTGCAAACTCCAGCAAAAAATTCACACACACACAATCCCATCTTTTGTGAGGGAGAAGAAGAAAGTAAGAGCAAAGCAGAGAAGGTTAGAAGCCAAGAAAGTTGAATTCTGCAGAATTAAGTAGTCAAAACAGCAGATGATTACTTAATTTTTCTGTTTGTTTACAAACCTGTGATACATAAATTACTAAATTTCACATATGATTCTCTAGTACTCTGCCTCATACATGATATTATAACTACATTCATGATTCTTGCTTTACATGTGCATGTTAATAAGAACAAAGATCACCAATGATTACACTACCGAGAAATGAATCAATGAGTTATAATCATAAAAGGATGGTCGGAATGGGGTTTAGGAATTGTATATCATTGAGACGGTATAACCGCGGCAAGGAGTTGTAGAAATGATCCCGTACTTTTGACGAAGGGTTTTGAATAATAACGGAAGGTGCGACATACACCGGTGGAGATCAGATTTTAATATGGTGAGCTTCACGGACATATTAGCATGTTTACTTTCTGTTATGAGGCCGTAAAATCTGAGTACATGATATTTGACGTATAAACTTGAAATCACTAAGCAATTAATTGCGTAAGTCAAGTATATATCAAAGATTAGTATCATCTCATGCTTTGAAGCAGATGTAGATGGTTCAAGGGAGCTAAGTCGAGTTTTTGTATCGGTTTGTATTATATGGTCTTCATATTAGATTGTGTCTTAGTATTTGTGTATTAGAAGCTTAGATTGTGTATTGTAACTACGATCCATTGAAATGCTTTTATATTAAGAAAATTATGTTTTGACTTCAATCGTTTCCGCTTTACTTAAATATGTTTTATATTTTCACATATGAATGGTTATCAAAGAAAATGTTCGTAACAAACTTCACTTGGTCTCGGTTTAGAGATGGAAACGAGGGATGTTACATCTATCGCATACTTCCTCTAGATAGGAGTGTAGTAGTGTACTATGTTGAATTAGAAGTGAGAGATGGAAGCATTTGCCAAGAGCATATAAACTGCAGTTGACTAGTCTCCTCACTAAAAGACCCATAGGAAGTGATGGGAGTGTCACAGTGGCATCATGAGCCTAACAAGGACAAGAAGAACCCCCATTCGATGTGAAGGGGGCTAAGACAAGGGTGACTCTGAGGGAAGATTAATGGAATCCTACTTCAGGTGGTCAAACACTGAAAAAGCGACAATGAATCTTCTTGCTCCATCCTAGTTAGAAAAAAGATATATCCCTCTTACTCTCATTCCTTGGCCTCCTCTTCCAAAGCCAGGGTAGACAAAAGAGGGCCTTAAGTGTCAACTTTCCTCATCATTGTTATCGATTTATCCTGTTGCTTTCATAGGACAAAAGAAAGTAAATATTTTTTCCAAGGTTATCATCGATGTACCCCTCATTCACCTTGTGCCATAACTGCCACTGTTTATTTACTTTAAGCATCTAAACTTATATGCATACCTCAGACATCATGGATTTGAGTTCATTCATGACTTGGGTGGTTCTACTAATTTCATTCCATTTTCAAAAACAAATAACCCACACTGAATAAAGAGAAAAAAATAAAACAAGCCCAGATTTCCCGACTCATGAGACAAACACTAATGGTACCTAGTTCAACTTTATTTAAAGCAATCATGGGTGGTAGTTCTAGCTACCTTGATTTTCTTATAAAATTACTTTGCATAGAATCGTATTAGGAAAGTGGGAAATGCGCAAGTCATAATCTCCACATCCATTCAGTTTGGGTATAATTTTTCCAGCACATCACCTAAGGGCGAACATGACATGAAGTTGGGAGGAAAAAACAGAAGGGATGAAAAGGCATACCTTTTGCCATAAATTTTTGTCTGGACGACTGAGGCATATTACCATAGCAAAACCCTGAAAATATGAGTTATCAAAATAGAGCCTAAAGCTTAATTAGTAAAAATAAACAGTCATGAACTAGTGGACAGTAATTCTAGAAGAAGTTTGGTTGTAGATCAGCAAAGGTTTATCAAGAAGCTTTTCATAGACAAAAAAAAATATGAAGAAAATCAGGTGCAAGTTTAAGTGGCCTCTGTGATCCTCTATCAAGAATGCTATCAAGAAGGTTAACAAAAAAATAAATGGAAACAATCCTAAAGCTTAACATGTGGATTAAGTTATTATTGTGCTCCTCAACAACTACAATTGGACAATTTATTAATATGCAAACCTAAAATTACCCGTCCATTGCAGGATTGACACAGCATGCCTTAGACTCTTCCATTCCAGCTACCTAAGTGCTAAGCTACTAATGACTCCGGCCACACAAAAAAAATAGCCCATATATGAAAAGAAGTGATGGGACCCCAATTTACTGTAGAACCTCCCTACTCCAAAACTAAAGATAACCTCATTTCTCTTGATTAAATATTTTACCGCATTATTTATATATATGTATATCACTACAATATGCAATGAACTTCAAAGACTAGAGATTGTGGAGAGCAGTGAAGAAAAAAAAAGAGTCAAACTACAAAATATAAGTCCTTACAAGACCATATTTCAAAATACCATTGGCCTACAAAATATAGAACATGCATAGAAAGGAACTCCAGGTTACAATTAGTTCACCGTAGACAGTGGCAGATCCAGAAACTTCTATGAGTGGGGGCACATGTAGGGGTGTCAAAATCTTCCGAAACCGAATAACTCATCCGAACCAAGATGGTTTTGGGATATTTGATTTTTGGCTCAAACGGTTTGGTTAACCGAATATACATAACTTATTCGGTTATTTATTTTACTATTTTGGTTAAAGCGAATAACACATTATACTAGTATTTATATATTTTTACTATTTCCGCTAAGCTCAAAGCAAGTAAACGCGCTACACATTTATACAAAATTCGGGTCGAGGAGAGAACGAGAGTGGAGTTGTAGCTATGTGCTGCTCTGGAGAACCCAGAATGGAGATGATATGTTGCCTATTGGAGACGCTAAAGTAGAGCACCGGAGCTGCTGGAGAAATAGAGAATGGAGATGTGAAATTGAAGAACAAATCTGAAAGTGAAGCAAGAAGTTGGAACTAGGACTGTAGTCGTCTGTGCAAGAAATCGTCGTCTGGTCGGTTTATTCGGATGGAGTGGGGGGTCACAGATTCTGAATGGGGGAACTCTCAGATTGGGAATGGGAGGAAACTAGCGGAAGGGAGGCTAAAATTCTCTTCTTTAACTTACTCAACAAAGCTTCTTGACTTTTGACCGGGGTCCGTCCCCCCACTACTTAAAACATACATCAGCCCCTGACCGTAAATGCAACTAATGATATGACCTTAGGTTGGAGAGCATAGAAGATGCAATTCACATGCCTCAACCATTTGAGGTTCGGTATTGGGTATTGGGTATTGGTTATTGTTAGTTATACTCTTGTAAACTACACTTCTTTACTTGTATTGTTATGTATATATACATGCTCTCTCCCTCTCTATCTCCAATCATACTTTTCCCTCCCTCTTACTCTGCCATCTAATACTCTTCCCCCCATCCTTGCAGATAACATGAAAGATGGTATTCTTAAAACGCTCACTATCAGAAAGAAAAAATACATTTACTATGTAGAAAGTGGGCCCATGAGCTGATGGGAGAGAGCCTTATGACAACCTAAAGATAAAATACATAGTAAACTTAGATGATTGTCCTATATCTAACATGAAGCAAAACCTAATCCTAGCAAGAAAAAAAAAAAAAAAGATCATCCAAGTTCATCAAGCTTACATGTAGAAATCGTGTAACACAAAGATCACAAGAAGTGAGATACAATAATGATTGATACTAAGCTTAAACAAATTAAGATGCTTGCACAAACAAAAGCAAAGAGAACCAAAAGAGTAGACCCCTCAAGGTTTAAGCCTTACCATCATGATCAAAAACCACCTGCATATATAAAAAAGCATAAGTGAGCGTCAAAAACATATAAATAAGATCAAATCCAATAACCAGAGAAACTTGAGATGCTATGTAATTTGGGAGTTAAGCATGCAACAACCAGAAAAGAAAACCCACAATTTCTGCACATGGACGACTCTGTAACACATAGAGCAATAAAAAGTCTACCGGTTGATAACTGGAGATGTATCCTTTCACACTAGTTTCTTTATTTTCATTTTTTCCATTAGCACTTTGTTTTAGGAAAATGCAGTATCCCAATGCAAGGAGGAATAACCACTTGATTACAATCTGTTTACATGAGATCCGAGCACCCGAGTTATCAGAATCTCTTTTCTTAAGGAGTGAAGATCTTGTTATTGGATGATGTCAAGTGCTATTAATTTCATTAATATTCACAAACCACAAGTTCCAGAAGGAACTTTGGTGCAAGAAGCTCTAAAAAATCATGAAACGAAAAAAACATAGATTAGCTGCAGAAACTATTCCAAAACAAATACAATGTACAAAAGTGCAAATAATTTCAAACATCAAGTTAGCACTACAAACCTTGAAGTTATACAACTACAAAATCCACAGAATAAAGGGTGAGAACGTAAAGGAACAAGGAAAACCTTCATCAATAATCCATATCCCTATGTAAGTTACACTCTCTGCAAAATCTTTTGCATGCAACCAACCATATATCCTTAGTTGTCAATTTACATAAATTTCATAAGTCAAAATCCAATTATTGTGGTAAACCTTTGTTAGGATCCAAGCGCTTACCACTACGCCAAAAGCAATTGCTGATGGAGAAGGTGCAACTTATTTCCTTATAGCGTAGCAGTCAGCGCCACGTTTCAATTTAGGAAGATGCTAGTCAATGACCCAACAATCCCCCCCCCCAAGCATCTGCCAGCACTAACAAAATCTTCGCTAGAAGACAATGGCTGCACAGCATGCCTTTGGCATTATTATGCACCTTATGGGATTCGAACCCGTGACCTGCTCTGGTACCACATGTTAGGATCCAAGCGCTTACCACTACGCCAAAAACAATTGCTGATGGAGAAGACGCAACTTATTTCCTTATAGCATAGCAGTCAACGCCACGTTTCGATTTACGAAGATGTTGGTCAATGACCCAACAAACTTGAATCACACATTGATGACCAAACGAAAAGAAGAGATTTTGAATGCATAATTGTCTCTCACTTGACCAACAGACACATAAAAAGGAGAAGATCTATACCGCCACATGTGATGGAGTGAATTCCAGAACATCAATTATCTGTCAAAAAAAATCAAAAACAGAGTACGAATCAGTTGCATCATTATTTGTAAATAAAATGCTTAATACACTAAGTAGCCCACAAGCCTAGCGTTTGTTTGGTTGTAACTATTTGTCATGTATGACGTTAATTTCCTAACACACTTTTTAGTTGGTTGAAATAATGCTAAAACACTGAACTCTTGATTTCTACTGATCACCTATACTTAAGAACTTAATGCCCAATGTCATCCTTTTTTCCATTTACATCAGACCACAGACATCATCTAAATTTTCTTAAATATCTTGATGTGAATTTTCATTCAAAATTTCATTTTCATATGCACATATCACCACCGGTATGAGTTTATGACACACATCATGCTAACTATCTTCAAAATAAAATAAAATACCTAACAGATGTCAACAATACTTATCAACAACATTACCCCCTTTTCCAATAACCCCACGATGGCACCACTCTCCAAGCCTCACCACAACTTCCAAAATGTTCATACCCCCTATCCAACCACAAACTTCGATTCATGGATGATCATGCAAATAGGGGGGTCTCTACTAGAGGCACGGGTATGCTCAATTTTTTTCTATATTTTTTAGTGTCAAAATAAAGAATCCGTAATTGTAGTGTATACCCGATTTTTTTGGTAATAGTAATGCATATCCAGTTTACAAAACCTAGGCCGCCACTACATGCACGCACATAAATATCTAATATATATATATATATATATATATACAAATACTAATGCAGGAGCATCACATGCTAGTGAAACTCATTTGGAGGTTAATTTGCCTTTTGCATTGGCTGGTTCATTTGGGTATTTTGAAGGTATCAAGGAGCATCCAAACAGACCCTATGGGTGTCCCTTAATCCTCTGGAATATTAATCAAGCTTAGCCCCAAAGGGTTATCACAATGGAGGAGCAGCATCGTTTTTATTTTCCAGCCTGCACAAATAAAAGTAGCACGTGCCTCAAACATGCAAAACCGTGCAAAATTGTATCAAGTATCATTGTTGAATATTGGGCTTCTGGAAGTAGTAAAAAAATAACAAGAAATTGTGCGATTTCCAGAAATATTCTTTAGATAACGTGCTGACAAAAGTTGGTGGTATCGTGGGGGACAACTGATAGTGCTATCAATTGTGGTTTGTTTGAGTTTAATTTTTATTATTATGAAAAATGTGTTAGAAATTTTACCAATCCATCTCCTCCATATAAAAGAGATTTTAGGTTAAACACCAGATTTTGTAGAATATGAATTCAATTCTAGAGTAACTGCTCTAGTTCCCTCAACATTCGTTCTAAATCCTTTGTGGGTTTGAGAGTAGCCCTTATCCTTGAACTTGAACCTGAATCGTTTATGGTAGTGGGCTTGTTTTTTCTTCAATGTTTCATTTAAATTTTTGTGGTTCCATGTTCCAGCTTACACAAAATCAACAGATAGAGTTGGAGTTGTTAGGTAAAGCATTCATAGTCTTCCTACATAGTTTATGCATTGCATGCATAGATATATAAACATATAAATACATACCCATACATATACATATAGTCACATACATATATGTGTGTGTGTTGTGTCTATAGAGTTGTTGAATGATAAAATTAGTGAGTTGTGAAGGAAAAGGAGATGAAAACAAGGCTACAAGGAAGACAGGAGGGAGAGACCATTGTTTATTAAAAGGTAACATATTTATCAAGGGACTTGGGTTTCATAATGGAAATGGATGTTCTTGATGACTGAAAAACATAAGAATTCAAGGACAATTTTCTTATTTATGTCGAGAATTCTTTTCGCTGAGGTATAAGATTAAAACAGAAAGTGAAATTACGATGTTTAAATCATAACCTAATTATTTCAAAGTATTTATTAGGCCTAAATGGAACATTTAAACCCAAAATCTCCAATAATTGGAGTTCAACTACCCATGTTAATATGGCAAAAATCCTTGCAACGAACTGCAATGGGGGTGCCTTGCTTAAACCATATTAAAAAAACAACTTCATAACTTTCGAAAATTGTCAGAAAATGCTAAACATGTCCCTTACAGGAGCTTCTTTAGCTTAGATAAGATGGCTACCACCTGCTGCATCTATGAAGTTTTTGAGGTATCCCTCACTATGATTAGTATATAGGTCCTCCAAAGAGGAACCTGCATGTGAGCGGGGACACTTAAAATCAAGAGTATGACTTACAAGTGACAAAGCCGTAGATATTGTCAAGACCCAGTCTCCATTGCCATCCGCATTAGACAGATACCCATGATGTAATTTAGCTAGCCAGAATAAACAACAAACAAAAAATTAGCAGGCCAAATAAGAGTTTCAATTAGCTTTTTGGAAGGATAGAAACACTGAACATACATAGATTTTATCCAAAAAACATTGAACATACATTGAATTCTTTAATGTACAATCCAAAAAATAACCTCGTTTTTGGTTGAACTGATAGTCAATTGCTCACGGAGTAAATGTATTTATTCACTTAATTACTTGACTGATTGGTGCATTCCCAGAGTTGCCACACATGACACATCAGCCACTATAAGCATCTAACTTCTTTCCATGTTATATGGTTGGATGAGGTGACCAGCTCTACCTATATATAGAGATATTTCATCCTCCGCTAAGGTGAAAAATAGACTGGGTAAGAAGCAGTCAGAGAGAACTACATTTTGGCCATAAAACAATGTTTATACATGAGGGTAGATCAATACAAACCATGAACCTTCACAAATAAGAAAAGGGCTAAAAACCTCCACACAAGCCTCCCAGTGTCTGGTAGTCATCCAACGGCTTACGTGTTGTCTAAAAACTTCATACAGAATTAGCAAAAGCAATGTCTTTTTGCAGAACATAGATTCCAAAAATTCAGGATCCGGATGCAAATGAGTCGAATTATTTCTCCCTTAAATGAACAGACACACTAATAGGATCAAGAAAATTTCAGCTAAAACCTTTCCCAGGAGCTAAGATGAGATTTGAAGTAAAATCACTAGAGCCTACAGGTCTGAAGTTTCAAATTACCATCACCAAGTTAATTGGCGTAGATCCAATACTTCACATATACATATTAGAGCATAAATTTGAATACCCTCCCATCCTAATGTGACTCACAATTTGGGACGAGGCCAAGTTAAAGAGAGATGTCCCAAGCTTACCCTTTTTCCATATAAAAAATAGGACCTCAATCTTCTCCATCGACTAAAATAATTACAACATATCCAACCAATTACCCTTCATTTGGAGAAAGATAACCAGTCTAATTCCTGATTTTATTTAAATCATTCCTATGTCTACATTCACTGGTAGCATACACTGTACAGTTTAAATGGCAGTCATTTGTTTAGGAGATCATAATCAGATAAGCTGGTTGGTTTTCTGACACAAGTGCAGTGAACTTGTGATAGAGATAATAACTCGCTAATGTTATCCAGTCAAATTAAAAAAATCAAGCCGATAAGATCCTAAAACATGAGATCTGCTTGACTTGATACAGGAACATCAGACCCTAAGATAAAATCAGACATTCTACGTGAGAAGAGGCAAATCAGATTCTAAAGTTTTTTTTTTCTCTCTATTTATTCCGAGGACTCTAATCTGGAGTTGATCTGGTGTCAACATTGCTTCTTTATCATCACAACGTGACACTTTCAACCATAGTACACAAAATCCTAAAAGGTAAGGCAGTGGATGCCATTAATAAGTTAAAGTAAATAGACATTTAGATTCATCCTACAAATAAAGTAAATATTTTTACCAAGAAGTTTGTAATAAGATCTGTAGATGATAGAAGTGCCATCAATAAGCATCACCCGACCATTTGAAGAATCAATATTAACTAAATTCTCTGTTTTCTGGGAAGAATCAAAGGAGGTACTTTCCTGTTGTGTTGCTTCTCCTTCAACAGTACCCAAATCTTTAAGAGAAACAGCATGAGCAGTTCCAGATAGCTCTGACCTCAAAGAATTTGACACTTTGTGGTAACCCTGGATAACAAGTACAGAAGTCTTCAATTAGATCAACATAGAAAAGCTGCCGTTTAGTAGTGTCTAAAGTACATTGTAGATAACAACATGGAACTATATTGTCAATCTTATAGCATCACTATAATAAAAATCTAGGAAACGATCTAGCATAAGTCTGCATGCATAACCAACTCCTATTATGAGATTTTTGTTGATAACCTCTCCAACATAATTAGTCATTCACAAGATGTGTGCAATGTTGTTCAGAGGAAAACTTTATGGCATGCAAATCCATGCAAAAATAAATAACTTGCGAACTATTCTCATCGTAGAAACTTATAAATCTAATGTTTGATCACATCCGATCAAGAAACTAGAGCCAAGATAGTTAAACCTCTATTCTACCATTTCCTTTTTCTTCTCTACTCACTTTTTTTTGTCAATCATTTCCTACTTTTTTCTTATCCTTCATAACTCATAGTTTCAGAAAATACATATTAGTCTTGAAAAATGGTAGAAAACAGCTTAGAGAACAGGAACCAAAATAAAAGACAAAAAGATTGCAAAGGAGTGGAAAGGGACACTCCAATTTATATAACAAAGCAACCACTCATATTCGAACCGCATTTGCTAGGTGTTGCACACGTACAAGTGAAAAATCATCTGCCCCTTGTCATGATAAAAATTGCGACTTTTTCAGTTGAAATGTCAAGGCTAAACTATATTGTTGCAATAAAATTAATACTATCTTGACATGACCACATTCTTGTTCATACTACCGGTCCAAGCTAGTGTGCTAACTTTTTTCTAAGTGGCAGGATTCTAAATGACAGGAGGTCACATCTTTTAAAAGAATCGACAGAGATGCGCATGTGTTTGGAGAACGGTCTCGTTGAAGTCGAAGATGACGTGTTGGAGGAAGAACGAAGCACATTCACAACTCCAAACACCATTGATGAGGAGTTAGAAAATATACTAGAATATGAAGAAGATGAAACCCAAGAGTAGTCAAGAAAGGTAAAGGATTTAATCCTTCTAATAAAATAAATTTTTTGATTGGACCCCCCCGGAAGGAGGCCTTCTTCACCTTCCACCTAAGCTGCGCAGGAAATGCCCGCTTTAATGGGCGAACAGCCCAACCCTAATGAAGAATTAAAAAAAGAAGATTATAAACGATTCTAAGAGCTGTTCAAGCAACTAAAAAACAAAGATTAGAAGATTTTAAAACCTAATTAACTAAGGTTGAAGATCAAAGATTTCAAAACCCAGATGATGACGTACGGTTTCAATTTTTTGTAATCAAAGTGCAAATGATTAATATATTTTAGATACAATTTTATGTTTTTATTTTTTATAGTTTTAATGTTAGTAATGTTAGTAATTAACTTCAACTAAGTTAAAGTTAGACAATTAGAAAATGCCAACGCCAGTTAAAAACCGGAAAACCACGACCTGGCCTTTTGAAGGCCAGGTCTCTTTTTTTTGCTTACTCTATGCAAGCTTGGAAGGCCTAGGCCCAATCATGAAAAAGCTCGAGCCTTGTGCATCTCTAGTTTGGAGTAGAATGAACATGAACATAGGCCTTGGAAACAAAATTCTTATAAACATTATTTGACTTATTTGTAAACACACCTAGTGAGTTGGCAACTGAGCCCACTCATGTTGTTATACTACTTGAGTCTTCCTCTCCATCCAATGTTTCTCATCCAAAGTCCCCACATCCATCCAATTCCAAGCCCTCTTGGTCTAAGGGAGTTCCAATTCTACCTCGAGAGAACATAATGACATATTCTAAGAGGAAGACGAAACAAGACATAGAGCCTGGATCAATTTCACCATTTGATCAACCCTTTGACATGAATTCAAGCTCTCCCTAGACGGTCATAAGTAAAGATAGACCAGAAGCGAAACTAGTCTCTCTTTATGGATGATCTAACAAGCAATGCCCTGAGAAAAGTGCTATGGGAATTGAAGATGAAGCACGAGGTTTCAAGCCCACCATAGAGTCCCAGTAGAAGGATATAGAATAGTAGGTCGTGAGATAAGTTGGTTAAATTCTTATCGAATACCTATGACCAAAGTCCTTGTTCCTTTGTGTGTCCTTCTAACAATGCTTTTGCCACTTGCTCACATCCTCGTTCGAACCGGACAAAACATGGAGTTGGCCTTCCTTTTTATCAACTAACTAAAGCATAGGCTTTAAGACATGCTTTGCATTCTCAATTTTATATTACACTTTGGGAGTATGCATAATACTCACCACACCAACTAGTAGCAAGACGTTGAAATAGGCCCCCCAGACAACATACATTACAAGGTCCTATTGGTACAAGATCAGGCCACATGTAAACGACGACAAGAGTCATTGGGAGCTATCAAGCAATTAATCAAAGTTTATGTGTATGTTAGTGGCAAGTAATCAACGAGTTTGCTATCTTAGAAAGTTCAAGGACATGTCGAGTTTGTCTGCTTTATGTTTCATAGTAGTTAACAAACTGGATTTTTCATAAACATGTTTCCAGGAGCATCATACATGATTTAACAAGAATAATAACCTCCTTCCTCGGTTCCTTCCTTGCACCCTGCTTTCTCTCTCTGATCTAGAAGCTTATTTTCATGCCACTGATGACCGATTAACATTTTTCTATAAGCATAATTGAGGAAACTTCAAGCTCACTGACCAAGATGTTAAAACCAGTGGTATAATCACCAGATATGGCCTTTCTAATTACCTCTAATTCGATTACTGATGGGTTGTCAATTGCAAACCTGATGGTTTTCTCAATTTTTGTAGAAATATGATAACAACATTACACAAATATCGAACTCTATAGTTGTTAGCTTCACAACAAAATGCATATTAACTTTACATTCGGTCTTTCAGAAAGAAACTTCGCATATCATGTTTGACCCCCAAAATCCCCGAAACAAAACTGTGAAGTTAACAACATCCTTACTTTTGCTCTCAATATAGAAGGTAACATTACATTACATCGATTGAAGACAAATAATCAAAGTTTCTCAATAATGAACCGAGTACCGCATCAATCACCAAAAGTATAAGCGTCAACTTGTGGGAAATACCTTGGCAAATCGTATGCGTGAAGAAGAAACGAGATGATGAGGTGTTCTGGCCCAGTGATTCGTTGAAAAACTCCCCCTGCAGCAGTAGAGAGTTCTGCAGAAGTTGTTAAGTAGATGATTTGAGAACTGACAGCAACCCATTTTCAGCTCGTAAGCATTTGTGTTTGAATAGTTGAGTGGAAGGGAGGAAGCAGAGCCTGCGGTGAGGAAGCCACCCTGAGGTCCGTCGAACGGAGGATTATTTTGCTGGTTGGGCATGGAAATTATCTATAGTACCATATTTGTTAGAAGTATTAAAAACAGCTTTTGCAGTCGTAACCTATTCGTGCTAAAATCTCCTAATTACAATGGTTAAAAGGAAATTAGTTAAAAATGAGTACTTTTATAGCCTATATTAATAAAATGACCCCTTTTCACATTTTACTCGTAAAATGGACATAAAATTTGTTGGGGTCGGATGATTTTGGTTTCTAGAGGACGATTTTTCCAATTTGGTACGGAGATCGTCCCCTTTATCTAAAATTTGTCCACATTAGCCTATTTTTACCTTTAATTTGTCTTCTACCGGAGACAAACTCTGATGTATTTTAGGGTTGGTTTGAAACTCTATGACCGATTCGACACACATTTGGGCAATTCTTGACTTCTATTTCGTATTTTTTTTGACCAAATGTAATATATATTCTCTTATAGTATCATCTTCCAAAAATGTAGTTTATATTTTGAAGTATCCTTCTTCTACTCTCACAACTCTTAACACAATCTACCATCACAATCTTTAACACAAATATGAAATTACGTCAAAGTTATAATGGTTCCATGTATGTTCAAAGTGGTGGTTTGTTAGAGATGATAAATGGTGTTATAGAGTATATGAAGTTAGGAGCGCCCAAATGTACATTATCTTTACCTTCGCCAATAACACATTCTGATTTGGTTAAGAGTGTTGTGAAAAAAGTTAAATTTACATAGTGGTTTTAGGTTATTTTATGAAAATCCTTTGAGTTATGAGATATTTAAGCTAGGTGATGATGTGGTAATGTTTCAAAACATCGTTCATCAAAATCTATCGCAAACATTGACATTCTTTGTTGTCAACAGTGGTGTTCAATTCTATGAAATATCCCGATGAAAGAGATGAGTGTTCTATCTTGAGTGTCATTGAGTCTTGTGCCATAAAGAATGAGTTGGAACAATGTTAGACTTAAGCAAGACTGAGGTTGTTAAGGAAATAAAATATGAAGAGGAAAGTAAGAACACCATGTTGCAGTACACTACTGCTTTTAGAAAGAACCATATATCCACATCTGTTGAGTCACCACCCGACCTGGAGTTGAAACAACTCTCTTCACACCTGAAATATGCATTTCTAAAAGAAGAGGGAAATTTACTTGTCATTATCTCATCTACCTTAGAAACATATCAGAAAGAGCAGTTGGTGAATTTGTTGAAAATGCACACCAAGGCTACAGAATGTACCATCTCTACCTTAAAGGTATCAGCCCTTCCATTTGTCAACACAAAATCATCTTAGAAGATAAGAGTTTTACTTCCATTGAACCCCAAAGATTAAATCCTATCATGAAGAAAGTTGTGAAAAAGAAGAATTTTAAAATGGTTGGACGTTGGGATAATCTACCCAATCGCGAGTAGCTCATGGGTAAGCCTTATACAGTGTGTCCCTAAAAGGGGAGGTGTCATTGTAATCTCAAACGAGAAGGGTGAGCTCATTCCTACAAGAGTCGTGTCTGGTTGGAGGATCTGTATGGATTAACGTAGACTGAATAAGGCTACCAAACACACCATTTTCCTTTACCTTTCATAGATCAGATGTCAGACAGACTTGAAGAAAAAAAATATTATTGTTTTTTTAGACGTGTTGATCTAAGCTCTCTCAGTGATTTGATGATGACCCTTTAGACTTAGTAAAAAATACTTTGTTCTATTTTTGTTCAGTTTCAGTGATCGTTGAACATGTATTAAAGACAAAACTCACACTAAAGGAACCTTTAGTGATGTCGAAGAAGTAGCTGAAGAATGAGATAAGTCATTCCGTGATCTGAAGTGGACTCAGTGAGAACACGATTGTCTACATCAAGTGTGAAATCAAACCAAGACTCAGGGATAGCTGAAGAGTCCTTGGCGATTCCTTACTATCTGTTAGACCCCATCACTCATATTTGTAAAAGTAATGAAAAACATACAAGTGTGAAAGAGTAGAAGGCCGATGGAAGACTCTTAAGAAAAAAGTCTAAGTGCCCAATACAACCAGAGATGCGATGAAGGTCCATAGGTGCGATGAAATGCGCATCTCCATAACCCCTATGGTTACCAACACTTGGAGTTTTCCATAACAATTCAACCAGAGGTATTCGATCAAGAAGACCACAAGACTCATGGTTGAACATGCCATCTAGAAGACAACTGGAGATGACAAATCGACAGCTAGATTCCCCTTACTTTACTTAGCTTTATTTAGTTTCCATAATTCTAGATTGCTTTCCTTTCATAAGAGATTTGCTAAATATCTTCCATAGATAGCAATCTCCATAATTAGATTACTAGTATAAATAGGCTTTATCATTCTTGTAATCGTTTACGCTTTCCAACCAATCATTTGAATAATAGTGAATCATTTGATACTCAAATACGTTCTTGAATATTCTTGTGTGTTCTTCACTATTTTTCCATCCACACGATATATTTAGGTTATTCATAACTTGAATATTCGTGTTATTGAGAGATCTGGGATCAACAATTGGTATCAGAGCAAATTGATTGTTTTTCAATCAAATACGATCAATAATCTCTCAATTTTCATTCATTTGAATTCATAATCTTCTTCTCCAAAAAGCGTGTTCTTTCTCTTCAAAAACTTCTAAATGGCTAACTGGAATTCTGCATATAGTGTGGATTCCCTCACCAAACCTCCAACTCTTCAAAGAGAAGAGTATCCACAATGGAGGATAAGGATGGTAAACTTCCTGGAGGGGATGGACAGAAATCTCCTCAGATCCGTCTTGTAAGGCTCGTATGTTCCTCAGACTCTTGTTCCAAGAGTCCCTGAACAAGAACTACTGCAGAAGTTGCTGCTTACTACATGGCAAAAGATGAGAAGAACTGGGATGAAGACGACCTTGAGCGTGTAAAGGCAGACATAAAGGCTAAGAGGCTGGTCATTATGGTCATTCCAAAAGACATCTTCCAATCTCTCGGTGCTTGTGCAACAGCAAAAGAGAGATGGGATGAACTGGCGAGCCAACTGGAAGGAGGTGTGAAGACGACGAAAAATCGTAGGGCGCAATGCCTCAACGAATACAATAATTTCAAGGCTCTACCTGATGAACCGATTCAGAAGACTTATGATCGTTTCAACACATTGATTAATCAATGTCGCCGAAATGACATCGCTAGGACAAAAGAAGAAAACAACGTTCTGTTTCTCAAAAGTCTCAGTGATGAGTGGACTCAACTGTCGATGTCCCTCCAAGCAAATCAGAACTTAGATAGTTGGTCGCTTCATGACGTCTATGGAACTCTTACTGCTCAAGAGAAAGATATAATGAAGAGGAAGGTGTCCATCGGCGGACCCCTTGCTCTTGCTGCAGAAGAAAAAGAAGTTACAAGGAGCTCCACCAGAGAACACAGAAGGAAAAATAAGAAGGCACTAGTAATGGAGTCAGAATCCGAAAAAGAACCATCTGATTCTGATGATGACATAAAAGCTTTGCCAAGTCTCTGGCCTTGATAACTAAACAGTTCCAGAAGAAGTTTGTCAAGAAGCCTTATGAAAGAAGAGACTCCAGAAGGGAGAAGTACCAGCCTTCATATGATCAGAAGCCGATGAAGTTTCATCAGAAGGATGAAAGAAGAGAAGAAATAAATGAACGAAGAGAGGACAGAAGAGAAGGAGACGGAAGAAAATATGGTCTTCGCTGCTATAGATGTGGGAAGATAGGCCACTTTTCAAAAGAATGCAGAGGATGACTGGTAAAGGATGTTGATTATTACAAAAATAAATACAAGTACAATCCTAAGGAGCGAAGCCTGATGGCTGAAAAAGAAAATTGGGTGTCTGATTCTTCGTCTGATGAAGAAGACAAGGCACTCATATGCCTCATGGCCAGGTCCAGTGCAGAATCCGCCTCTGACTCCGATGACCAGGTATGTGACCCTTCCATTGATGAAACCAACTCTGCTCCATCAAAGCTAGAGTTTAGGGTCATGAAATTTTCAGAAGATTTTCTCAAACTCAAAAAAAATTAAGTTTTGAAAAATCTGGAAGGTTAAAAGCTGAAAAAGAAGTCAGTTTCTACAAAAGAGAGACTGATCTTCTCACAGAAGAAAAGACTGAATTGGTAAAAGAAAAAACTCGCATTGCATCGCTTATAAAATTAGAGGAAGAAAAACTTCTAGATCTAAACAAAAGGATAACCAAAGATTTAGAGAAAAAAGTAAAGTCCTTAAAAGAATCTAAGGCAGAAAGACTAAATTCAGTGGCTTTTAAGGATTTCTTCCAAAAGGATAGGGAGATTCTTCATCAGAAGCTTCAAACCAATGAACTCCTGATGAAGAAATACAAAGATGCCCAAAATGTTTATGAAAAACTTAATGGTCAAAAGGATTACCAAGGGATTGGATTCAATGATCTTGACTCTTTCATCAAAACCAAGAAATCCACCCTTGAATCCACTTTCAAACTTGGATGTATTCAAAAACCCAACTTTTTCCCAAAACCCAAAGCAAACTTCAAAAGGGTTAAAGTTGATGGAAAAACTGTTCTCTTGAGGCAAGACTTTGAGAATGTGGTGTATGAGAGCAACACATGTAAGAATTCTAATGAAAAGGATGATGCCTCCAAACCAGAGACTGATGGAAACTTTATGGTTAAACTAGAGCCTCTGGTTATCAATCCCACAAGTTCATCAGCAAGTGCTGTTAATGGAACAGAGAATCTTAGTAAGGAACCATCATCTGATGGATCGATGAACAAACCAAGTGACATTAGAAGTTCATCTAAGAAATCATAAGCGATGGAACTCCCAACAGATCACTCTGAACCATCAATCTCATAACCCATCACTCCCAAAAACATCCATGAAAATTTTGATTTTGAGAAATCTGCAAGAGACTTTCTTGATTTTGACTTTGAAGAAGAAATAGTTTGTGAATCACTAGAGATCATTGAGGATAAGAAACCTCAAACTTTCAAAGCTCCAATGAAATATGATATTCCAGAACCTGTGAAAGCT